AATCTAACATGACAGTACACAATGTGATAGGCTCAGGCGCATGACGTACGCAGCGGGTACACCGCGCGCGTGTATGTGTGTGTGTGTGTGTCCCTGTCTCTTATTTGTCTAAGGTCTGTCTCTGTTTGAGGTGGTCTCTCAGTGAGAGTCTATCTGAGGTGTCGCTCGGGTTGTTGCCTTAACTAGATAACATTCCCATATTCTTTAATAGCGGCTAGTTTGTCACAACACGTGCCGCAAGACACGGCGCTTCCAATCAAGAAAGTCATTAGCGTGGACGCATCCTCGACGCGAAGAGCCATGCAGTCACTCGAATTACTTGGACCTCTCCTGCAAGTAGAACGAAACATTCTTGGAGCTTCCCCCTACATGCAGGAACGCATCTCATCCGTGGCGACGCGCTGAGCCACCGAGCCGTACTCGGCCGCGCCGCCGCGTCGAGGCACGGGTCCCCCGCCAAGCAGCGACGCCGAAGCGTCGACCGATAGAGCGCCACGCCCAGCAGTATGGGCGTCGACCGCTCTCTCGAGCGGCCGCGTGGCAGTGCGTGGCGCGGGCGCCACGGGCGGCAAGCGTGGAGCCGCTGGAAGAGCCGGTGCGAGCCGTGGATGGCAGCCGCTCCCCACGTCGCCGAGAGAGGCTGCGGGAGAGGGCTAAGGAGGCCACCGGAGGCGCCGGGAGGCTCGGGAGGCGCTAAAAAGTGGCCCGGGCACCTCGCGCCACCCGTCTGGTGGGGCTGGGTGGGCTCAGGAATTAATCCAGGATTTTAAGGTGATCCACTACACCTGACCGAGAATTGGATGTGTCGCTACCCGCAGGGCCTTCGACAGGCTCGGCCCGTGCGGCGACAGCAGTGGCTGATCGTCGCCTCGCGTGGCCTCCTCCTGAAACTCGTCGTGCAGGTCTTCGAGCACGTCCGCCAGCGCGCTGCGCTGCACTGCCAACCGCGTCAGAGCCGCGGGGGCGGCCTCATCGCCGCTCTCCTCGCTGTCGCTCTCCTCGCCGTTGGCAGGGGCAGCATTGCCGGCGGCGTCAGCGGCTGCGTCAGCGGCATCCGACGCCGGCGCCGTCACAACCCGCCACTCCTCGTTGTCCAGCACGTGCCAGTACTGCTCGCCTGGATAGCCGTCGTACTCGACCTCGTGCACGAGCCGACCGTCCACATCCTGCTGCCGCCCCATGATGGTGGCCGGCCACCACCTCTCCTGCACTCCCAGAATCTCGACGTGCGTGCCCGTGTCGACGATGGCTTGTCCAGCCTGCCTCGCCGCCTCAACCACCCGCAGCCGCTCCCGCCGCGCCTTCTGTCTCTCCGCTGCCGGCAGCGTCACGTAGTTTGGTCCGCTCTCCGCCACACTTTCGAGCACCTCGCGGGCGCTGACTTCCTTCACCCCCGCCGCCTCATCCGACGGCAGCTCGGCGAGGCCCTGCGCCGCCTCGCGGTCGCGCCGCTCTCGCTCCCGCGCGTGGAAGGCCGCTCGCCGTGCGACGCCTTCGCCTTCGTGTCGCATGGCGACTGCGTGGGTCGGCTGCGGCCCTCGCCGGATTGAGCTGCTCGCTAACTCGCACGTCCCCCGCTCTATTGACCTATATCTCGTCCCCCCCCCTGCCTGTTTTTCGTACCCCCTCCCCGCTCTTATTGACCCAGATCTCGCCCCCCCCCCCCCCCCCT